TGTCTTCCTCTACTAACTGTCCTCATGCAGCCTTTGACAATCTCTCCTGGTTGCACAGGATAGTATAGCATAGCAGCCTTGAATACAACTTCTTCTGGTCTTCCATAGCTATGACCATAGCCCTGCTACATGCTCCTTCACCCCACGCACAGCACAAACACAGAATGACTACCACACTCAACTTCTAGGCAAGCTTATTCCACTAGAGACAGCTACCTACGAACAACAGTTCAACCACTATGCTCAATCAATTTATGTAACCAGTGCAGTCCCCAGGATAAATGCATCTTCATCATGCCACAGATATTTCAAGAACTCTTCAGCTCTTGTCACAGTATGGGGCTCCAGGACCACATGCTGATTTGCTCCTCACTAACGGCATGCAGCCTTAGCTAAGAAACATTACCCGAGAACTCCACAAGAGTAATTTATGGTGTGCTGCAATTTTAAACATCCAGACATTTGGCCTTCTGCAGTAGGTACCGAAATCATGCAACCCGCTTGGTTAAATTTTGTAGAAAGCAGTTTCCCAACCTTTTTCCACAGAATCTACTTTATCAGTATTTGTAACATCTTATTTCCTCCAAAGATTTCACGACATGCGATCTACACAGCCTTAAAAGGAATTTTCAGAAGTTCAGTTATGTTCTTGCCATTCTGTTCAAACATTTCCTTTTGCTTCTGGAGTATGTTGATGAGTGCGCAAACAGAAGCTCGTACCACATTCTTGCTGGTGATCTTTGAAGGCTTTTTTTCTGTTTCATCGTTTTACCAGAGCCGAGAGTTGCAGATGATCACACAGAACAATTCCTCCTTCATGTTAGGAAAGAGAAGTCTTCCACTCACGACTCAGTTCCTTGCCAATAGTGTCAGCTTTGCTTCAGGCTACTACCGCAGGCTCAAGTTCTCGAAGTTTGGTGATCCAAAATTGCTAAGCAGACATTTCCATTCAGTAACGTACTTTTCCAAATGATGTTTCCATTTCTAAAGGTGCTTGGTATCTGGTTTGTTCTGATTATCTATCTTTTGAGTTCCACGATCTGATAATATCTCCTGGTGATGAAATGTGGGTGGAATCTCCCTCAAACGTGTAGCAAATTGTCTTCAATACTGACAGCTGTTTTTTCTTCACTAGTAAAGTCCCTCCCTCCACTGACAGGCAGTTAAATGTGATGCTCAATGAAACAAATCAAGTAGACTGGGATGCTCCTAGTGCTCAGTTTGGTTGACAGTAGGCTCACATAATCTAGCCTTTAACATTCTTTACTTCCGTAACCAATTTCTCCAAGTGCTGCTCCTGCCACAGGTTTTTCGTTGTGTTTCTGCCACAAGACTGCCAAACCCAACTACACTAGCTTCTCCAGTTTCTGGTGTGTTTCCTCCTGTCTAATCCTTGTGTTTCACCCAGTCACAGTCACCGATTGAAAAAAACATTCCCTTGAGAAGAAAATTGTATCTGAAAGACAAGTATTGTGCCAAATCACTGAGTGCGATGCTCAGCCAGCCCTCTGAAAGCTCAGGAACACATTCCGGTCTGTTTCTGTGAAACTGGCTCCATGAACCTTTATCTTCCCTTCATTCTCTCTCCTCATCGTCACTCTCTGAAGAGCTTTCATTGGGGTTCTGCTTGTCAGCACACTTGTGGCACAAATCCTCAAATACAACACGGTGCTACTTGCACTCAGACTGTTCCGCTAACCACCCCAACGAACTTTCCTCAAGCATAAACATTCAGGACCCTTCGGCCACACTCAATTTCTGCATGGAGGAAAGAATGAAGGAATAAGAAGAAACAACGCGTCTTCTTCCAGTTCTGTTCCCTGGACTGAAAAAGAAACTGAACCTGAACCTCCTAAGCATTCTTAACTTAGTCCCTAGATCTTCCCGGTGAAAGTTTTTATGGCAATTTGAGTTCTCACAGAACCTGCTCCACCTGATCACTTTCAGGTAAGCAGGTCTAAGTTTCTTGTGTTTCCCATCCTCATTGCATTACACTTCTGACCCAACTGATAAAAGCTATGATTGATACTGCTCCTGGACAAGATGTTACTTAGGAGACTACCACTAAAGTGAAAGTTTGCATCTTTCTCCTCTCTCCTTTCCTCCTGATGGAAAAAGTCTGTAATCTTATTAACTGTAACAGCTGTAAATAGTTGCTGTTCCAAAGCAGTTCCATGTGGCCTGGGATGGCCTTGCCCCCTTTTAACTTTGAGCTTTGGGAACAATTATTCTCACCCAAAGTCAGTAAATCCTTCTGTTATTTAGCTCAATACATTGAAATTAACTAGATCCTTTAAAATAAATATTTTTGATATTGGATTTCAGAAATCTCCTTTGCAAGCCACTGTCTCCTACTCCCCGTCCTCAACTGCCAATGGTCTCTTCACCCACGTTTTGAGATTTCCACACTCCTCTTTCCTGGATTATGTCCCCAGTTATTCATCTTAATAGTTCCCCCGGACTCAGCCTGGAACCTCCCTTTAAGTCACTTGCTCAGTCATCTAATCATACCCCTAATCCTTCCTGGCAGATCTAACCCCAACCAGCTACTCGAGCTGAGAGAAAGAAGGAAACCCTGCCCTACCTATTACATGTAATCGGTCCTATTACAGGAATAATGGCACGGAATTCCTAGATCATCTTTCCTGATAGTCACTGGTCCATCGACCACCTTTTTTTTCTCCTGATGACCGCTAAGACCATGCTTTTATCCTTTCTACCTCTCCTTGAAGTTTATGGCTTCCTAAATGACCTCCTTCAGCCTTTTCAGGTGAATATATGGTTACAGTGGATTTCAAGCTTTCACAAAATGTGTCTAAAAAGATAGTCAAGGAAGGAGGGGAAAGTAAACAAGGCATTTCAACAGATTCACAAGGAAAAACATAATAAGCTAAGGCTGAAAATGTATTTGATAGTATATATGGGGAAAAAGTCACAGAATACTGTTATTATCCCCAAATGCTAGATTAAAAAAAAAAAACCAAACAAAAAACAAACCCACAAACAAGCTAGCTACAGGTAGTAAGCTTAACAATTAAAAAAAATTGTGACATCATTAAAAAAAAAAAATCATGTTAGGCTCATCATATACTCAGTCTTTTGGGGTTCTTTTTTTACCTCAGAAAAAGTCATTTGCTTTTTAAATAGCACAAAGCAGGGGAGGAAACAGACCAAATCTCTACAGCACAAAAATAAAGCAGCACAAGACTCAGTGGGATGTTCTGGCACAGGGCTACACAAGTTTTATCACAGGAGTCCAGGACAGCATTAGAAAACACCTGCTGGCAGGACTATTCCACTGAATACTGAGCGCAGGGCTAAAGACAGACTTCGGTGTCCAATAAAAAACGGAAGCAAAAACTGGAGAGAATAAGCAAACTTGCTTTTACATGAATGAAAAAGTTTTGTGTAGGAGTAGTAGTGGGAATAAAATTTCTTCACATTTTATTGTGTAATTTTGCTGTGTAGTAGTGTTTCAGTATGACTTATTGTGTAATGCTATTGCATGGCATCATTTGTTGAGCAACTTTGCTGCGTGGTATACTTTTTTATTTAATGATATTGAACATTAGGCAATGGTCTTGCATGCCATAATTGGTGTTTTTTGTTGAGCAACATCACTGCCATAGTTCTTGACAGAAAGGTGAACTGCATTAATTCACACAATAGCGCTGAATTCATGATTTTAACATATATTCACTCAGAGACAGCAAATGGAGTTTACTACTTTTTTCTGAATGAAGACACGTGCAGAAAAGCAGCAAACTGAGCAGGTATTTAAGCAGAACTTAGGGCAACAAGATATGATTTCATTCAATAGCAATGCAGCGTTGCCTCATAAATGACACTTTCTTATCCGGAGCTACCTTGTAACTTCATTGTGTGATATTGCATGTTTCACATATCCATATCTGACTGTAAAAACTGCAGGAGGACCTTGTTTTACTTTCTACTGGGTATAAATAAGAACAGTAACACGCTTCTGATGTGACTTAGGCTCTGTCCAACACTATCTTTGCAGGGAGCTGATGAAGTCCAGAATCTGAACATGAAGCTCTCCACCCACAGTACTGAACTTAAAGCAGTAATCTAAAACTTGCTTTACTAAAAGACCTAAGTATATTTTAGATGCCATCACAATGCCATCCCAATACTACTTAAGGTTCTCCAAAGCAGTAGGAGGAGGAAAGAAAAGTTTGCCCTATGCATAGTATTAATGTAGGTTACTGAGGTTTACATTCTTTATGTAAACTTCCCTTTTGATCCCTCTTTCCCCCCCCAGTCATTTTTGGTTATAATAGATGTGGTCCGTATATAGACTTCAATAACATGTTTGAAGTTCAGAAAATGTATCAGAACTTGAAGTCTTTTTTCCAAACAAATGAAGTAATCCATAAGGATATCAACTTCCATCCCACATCCATTTTTATATCCATCTGAAAATGCTATTGATTGGCTAGAACAGCATCTCTTTCATGCATTACCTGGCAGTCTATAAACAATTATATATTACAAGAGGCAGAGAGCAAACACTGGTAGACTACAATGCAGTGCTGCTGCAAGCATTTCTATTTGGTCTCATATTCTAGCAGGTTTTAAACAGAGAAGAAAAAAAAAAAATAGGCATGCAGGTCTAATTTTTAAAATATGGCAAAAACAGAACATAGGCTGGGAAGGCAAATTGGGGGGGGGGGAGGAAATGAGTTCCCACCATCTATAACATAAGATTAATTTATTATCTGACAGATGGCAGAAGAGAAGGAGGTGGAAAAGACTGCTGATGCAGTAGCAAGCTTCCCGTCTGCAACGAAGGCCTCACATTCTCACTTTATCATACTGCCACAAAATACAGCCACAGTTGCGTTCCCTCCAGAGTTTCGCTCCGCGTATTTCTAAGTTTAAATCAAAATAACATAGACCTCATCGCTGTGTGGACAACTGAAGAATGAAGCAAACATCCAGCTGAGCGATTCTTCAGCCCACTGCCCGAGGCCACTCACAACAGCAGCCACGAACCGTGCGACTCTCCCCTGCTCGCTTCGCCTGACCGACGCAGAAGGGCCACCCGCGCCGGCCGACGCGTCCAGAGCCACCCGTCACCGCAGCCAGCCACGGTCTCGTTTGCTGTCCCAGCACCGACAGCTGCTTCTTCACATTTCTCCACACTCCAAGACGTCTTCTCTTCCTTCGGCGCCTTCCACGGCGCAGTCGCGGGGTGCCACCACGATCGAACGGAGCGCGCCGATGAACGGCGAGCAGCGGAACCGACCCACGCACACGTAACGCCAACCGAGAAGCTTCCGCAGCGATGGTGACCATCGTCGCTTCCTCGACCCGGCGTGC